ACTATTGTCAGCGGTTGTTCGCTATTGTAGGCCTTGTTTGACTTCTCACAAACAAGTCCATATATATGGTAATGTTTTTCGAGATTACATGCGAATTCATCGACGCGGTGATCATGTTTTGCAGGTGGATTTGGATCGGATTTGCAGCTTCACAGCTCGTGCCAACCTGCCAAGTCTAAATTTGGACAAACTCCTCAAAAAGGATTAAAACATTTGGAAAGTGGCCTCTGCGTCCATCCATTCCAAGGAGTAGCTTCGGAGGGAGTGAAACTTGTYACATGGAGCGGCTGTACGAATTCTCCAGGATCTCAAAAGCTAAAGTTGGATCTCTTTAAACTGTCTAAAAACGGTACGGGTAATATTGCTGGTTTTCAGGTTACGTCACAGCAGCCATNTTTATTCCCACGAACTATAAGGGGTTTATAGTCGTTCAGTGTCCGGTACTGAAAGCAGTAGAATCCAAGATGGGGGTCGTATTGGTAAAAGATTTCTTTAAAGATGCCGGAAGTAATGGCATTGATATCAAATTTATTGTCTAGTGTATGATGTCGGCACCACCCTCTGGGATGGAATTCGTATGGTTTTGATCGAGAAAGGCTGCCATCCTCACCAAGTTTCGTATCGAAGGTATGATGTTCTCTTAGTCAGTAAATAAGAAATTGTTGTGCTGTACGGCTTGAAAAACATGCTGGAGAAAGACATAAAAGTGTAAATCAAGGGGGGCGCACTCCACAAACTTGTCTCAAAGAAGACACAATATCATTTAGGGGAAATATGAGAAGGTCGAAGGTGCACCCCCCGGACCCAACAGCTGTATCTTCCAATGATACAATGATAAAAATATACTTATGACTCCCGCTAACAAAATTCGAGGATTTTGACTCCTTCGGTTCGATACGATCTATATGCACGAGGCAATTTTTTAATTTTCCAATCTACACCTACTTGCAGAAACGTTGTTATAGAAAATAGAACATTCGAATTTAGTAAAAAGGAATAAATTAAAACAAAACAAAAGAAAGCGTTCAGCCTCAGTGATCTTCTTTTGTTTTTTTTAATTTATTCCTTTTTACTAAAATACAAATGTCCTATTTTTTTATGACAACGTTTTCGCAAGTAGGTGTATTTCAACTCGTATATTAAGAACGACAAGGAAGATGAAACAAATCTGAATGGTAAGTGCATTCAATTCTATTTTGTAGGAAAAAATCCAAAGCACTTGAGTACAAAACCTCTGGGTTCTGCTTGCAAAGAGAGTCGACGAAACCAAACTCAAAAGCAATGTTCTCGAAGGACTGCACTAGTCCAGGAACGTTCCTGGATTTCTACAAACTCTAGTAATCTAGATATTCAGGTTTTTTTTTTTTTGCACGATTTTGGTAGAAGGAGATTATGATATTGTTTTTCCTTAAAAGTAAATGATTTTATTAAAAAGCGATCAAATGCATTGCCATTGTCTTTTGAAGCAGCTCAATAAATCAAAATAACAAAAAATTCATACATTTAGAGCAAAATTTTTTGACGTATTTTTTAATACGTACTCATTCTCACTTGCATAATTTTTTCATCGTAAGCTTACATTCCCGCAACTCCGATATAACACCGACACTGTCCCGATGTAACATCGATACAGATCCGGTGTAGCGACGCAATTCCGATTTAACACCGACACAGCTCCGATGTCTTACCGACACATCTCCGATGTAAACGAGCAAAGCTCCGATGTAACATCGACGCAGCTCCGATGTAACACGGGCGAAACTCCGATGTAACACCGACATATCTCACATTATCTCACATTCCGATTTAAACACCGACGCAGCTCCGATGTAACACCGACACAGCTCCGATATAACACCGACATATCTCACATTAGTAAAACTCTAGGTATCTCTTTACATACCAGCTTTACAGGCTTATTTTCTACTAAAATGTTAGTCTCAGTGATAGTCTCGACTTTATACTTTCCTTGAAACGATTTGAGTTGGTTGGGATGCAACCGAGCTGTTTAAAGATATATCATGGACGTTTGTAAACGATCGGCATTTGATAACAGATCCAAACGCTCTTCTAAACTGAGGGCTGAGTATTCCATAAATSACSGGATTKCCGCAGCTACTCGTGAACATCAGATAAATAACAAAGACAAAGACAAYACGAGGAATCTTGATTCCAAGCGTCTCGAACACAACTGCGCATGAYACRGGCATCCAGGTGAATAGAAAAAAACATACCACAGCGAACATGGACTTTAATAGTTTGATATCATTGGAGTGTGTGGTATTGGAGTTCGAGTGATGGGAGTTAATATTTGCGGTGCTTGTTTTGACTCTTTTGTAGATCTTGTAATAACACATRAATATAACGACTGTTGTTCCACCAACACCCCCACCGACCACYACGATAACATACGAGATGTTTTCTATATCCCATACCATTGTGCACACGGAGAAATGAACATGGTATTGCATGGAGCCCCACCCATACAAAGGGGGCGTGGCAAGCAACATGGCAGTCGCCCACATCAACAGACAGTAACCAATAGCAAAGCTTCGATTCTTGAAGTATTTTCTATATACGGTGTTCTGGACGACTTTGAAGTATCGATTGACAGCTATTAGTCCCATTGTAAGAATCGAACATACTCCGAATGTGAACATAAATACCCCTGACCAAGGACAAAATTGCTGGCTCAGTACCCATCGTCCTTTGTGCACCGACAGTACCCAGAAYGGCATTTTTAGTGTTGCCATGCCAACATCAGACCACGCTAAGCTTTCTATGAATACATTGGTTATAGTTCGAAGACGCGTATCTTTATGGAGGGCGWATATAAGCAGAGTGTTACCTAGCAATGCAGAGAGGGTGATCCCAACTGCAAGGGTCGTTTCTATGACGACCAGTGCGTTTGTCCTTCCAAGAGGATCTTGGGAATTTGATGAGTTCATTTCAGCTGAAAATGGAACAGACAATTAAAAAGATCGTTAATCAATGAAAGGCTTGTAAATCAGAATAAACGCCCACCATCTAATGAATTAGACCATTTACGAGGTGTACGGCCGCTTTTATAAGTACCGCATGCATAAAGTGGAGGCGTTTTAAAAGCGCTTCTGGAAACTGCTAGCAAATACAATTATATAAATATACAGACAGTTATTTCGAAAGTAAACCTTTAATTTGTCATGAAACAGCGTGTGTTTAATAACCCTTAGATATAAACATGATTTCAAAAGGTTTGATTGATTCATAATCGTTTTTCGCGAAAGAAAAGTGCAAAAATTCGCAAATGAAATCACCCATGATACACGCAACATAATGACAGGTCAGAGGGGTGGTCAGAAGTTTTGCAATTTAAATAAAACAAAAAAAAACCGAGCGGAAATACATGCTTAATATAATGTCTTGAGTAGAAAACATTAACTGATATAATAAAACAAACAGTACGATATATTAACGATTTCAAATTAAAAAACGGACATTAACTGCAAGTATGTTAAGTTGACCTGCAAAATTAAACTGTTTTGACGATATGTGTGCCATATTTTTTGCTCTATCGAAGGCTTAAAAACACAGAATTAGTCTCGCATTTATGCCTGGTATATYKTAATTCTTTGTGGCTTGCATTTTCGGTCGTAATTGCCATTGTGGGTCCCGTATATGCGACCTGAACTGACCATTGCGACCGGCGATGTCAGTATCGAGGTCATCGTATTGATCTGATCAAAATGTGTCAATGCGTCGGCAAAAATTTTAACACGACTTTGAATTTATGACTTTTTTCATAATGAAATCAAATTAAAACGAAAAAGTCAATTTTGTTCATGTCGTTTGTGGACATCGAAGCGCATGGAACCTGTCAAGCTATAAGTTTGTCGAGGAAATGACTRCAAAAAAGTAGTCAAACATTGCTCTAACAAAAATCATAATACAGCGAGATGATATTTATAAGATATTCAAAAAAGAAWACTAGTTTTTTTAGGTGTCATAATTAATATGTCACAAGTGGGACGGAGTCTTTTGGTGATCATAGTWACCGGCCGTATCACGAAAAAATAATTGAAAATACAGAACTTAATTGCAAGTAAAATTCTATAACATTTCCAAGACAGTGTTTTACGATGCATTGAAACTTTTATYATTTTCCATTGATTGACGATTATARGGTTATCTTTTCAATGATTTAGGTGTATTATTGATATATCTATATGAACTTGGTATACAATAAGACACTGTTAAGTCGACTAAATATAATCTTTACCTTTTTATCCTAGCGTTTTAACGTTTACATTTTAGTTGAAAAGTTGGCTCCATCAGAAGATGTCAAGCCAATGCTATAAGATACTTAAACCGAGAGAAAATCTTACCTCAGAAGTTGGATTTTCCAGGAACCGCGAATTCAACAATGCATCTAAGCATTCAGGCTTCTCTTTCTGGTCTACTGTACATGGAGCTTTCCCATGAACTGTCAATCCGTGCAGGTGACAAAAAGGGTTTAAAGAGGAATATTAAAAATTTTATGGCAACAGCTGCCTTCRCACTAGTAATGTCCAATTCTTCGTTGTCATAGAGAACAAACATTTACTAAGAATGTTGTCTATAGCTCTTAATTGGACGAACGAAATCACAGAAAACCTGAACATATTTACGCTTTTCTTCTTCTTGGTAAGTGATGTTGAGTCAGATAAGAAAAAGTCATTTACCAGTTTATCTTTTAAAGWTGTGATATGTTTAACCAGATAAGTAGCCTATCATATGCTGTATGGTATTAGCCAATCAAATTGCAAGAAATCGTCGACATGTTTAGCAAGATTTTCCCTTTAAGGTACTTGTGTTTGATGACCATATCAGTGAGTTGACTTATATCTTGTTTCTACTAATTCTCAGGCATTAAATCACATTGGGAAAACTCCTTTRCACAATAACAACAATAACGAATAGTGAAATTGTTCATCAAMTCATGTTTTCTCGCTGTCTTGTCCGATCTTAATGAGTGCAAAATAATCTGTTGAACTTGAGATTTTATGTTATACTTGTGACAATATCAAACCATTTTTAACTTCAAGCGTTAATTCAAGTATATTGAACACCACACAGTAATTAAATACCGAAGGAAAGCTGTACACGATGGAAAATTCAAATTTCCATCAGATTCAGCTAATTTGATAAAGGTGGTCGAAGTAGCATGCTGTAAAATGGAGCGAAAGGAACTATCTATAGAGTAATTCTGTGATTCTGGAATAACACAGCTCGTCATGTGATCAACACCCATAACGCCTTTCAGTCGTGCATTAATCTCTCGTGCGAACACTCTCCGCTAATCCGCCATCTTGAATTTCAATGCCGTTAACTCCAGTATTTTTCTGCTCACTCTTTTTCAAAATGGAAATCATCGATATCTTGTAAACACGGCGAGTGACAAACGCGCTTGGAACTGAGGTTTCACCATGGCATCAAGTATTTTTAATTTACAGATTCCGGCTTAAAATGAAAAAAAAAAAAACCTCCAAAAACACTAAACTGATATTAGTTTCCCTTTTTGATGAGTTTTCCTAATAAATCATGCTAAATTTAATTAAAGAAAGTTAAAATGATATATCAGTTCAATTGAAGATATTAGAACGAACCCACAC